ATTATAATTTAAACCAGCCAGTGGCTGTCAGAGTAGAACTGTGCTCCGCAGGGTTTTCAATGTCTGATTTTTCAGAAGTAGATCACCAGGGCTTTCTTCCAAAGCACCTCTCTGAGTGGACTCAAATCTACTACCTTTCAGTTAGCAGCTGAGCGCATTAACTGTTTGCACCATCCAGGGACTCCTGAACCCACTGCCCTCTTTGGCTCAATGAATGAGCCCAGGGTTTGAGACAGGCTCTTGAATAAGGCCGTGGCTAGCCTGTTAGAGCTTGGAGGGATGGTGTCATTGGGGTAGTTACCATGAAGTCAGCCTTAAAAAAAAAAAATTGCCATCAGGTCAATTCTGACTCATAGCAACCCATGTGAGTCAGAGCAGAGCTGTGCTCTGTGGGACTTTTGGGAAGTAGATCGCCAGCTCTTTCTTCCGAAGTGCTGCTGGGTGGACTTGAACCTCCAGCCTTTCGGTTAGCAGCTGAGCACGGTCACCGTTTGTAGCACCCAGGGGCTCCATAATAACCATTTACACTCTGTGAATCATAACAACGATCTGTTTTCTTTCTTTCTTTCTTTTTTAGTGCGCTTTAGGTGAAAGTTTACAGCTCAAGTTAATTTCTCATACAAAAATTTATACACAGATTGCTTGGTGACGTTAGGTGCAGCAACGCTGTTTCTCTGGGGCTCTTGAACAAGCGGTTGCGTCGGCCTCGCTGAGTGTTTTCAGGACCCTGTGACCTTGCGCAGTCCCTCAGATGGTGATGGTTGTCTGTAGGGGAGTGGGCTGTCTGTGCCTTTAGCTGCTTAGCCAGGACTTGGACACATGTGACCATTTATTGGCACATTTATTTGCACGTGATTTACACACCTCTCTGCACATGTTGACCCAGAGGCCAATGAGCCAGCTTCAGGTTCCCCCACGCCCTTTCCCAACCCTCCCCCCGGTGTGAGGGAGGGGCTGCTTGCCAAAGGGGACCCCTCTGACGTCCCCAGGGCCACGCTTGGTCCACAGCAGGAGGCGCGCGGAGGTCATTACACAGAGAATGAAAGCCGCGTGAGTTACGCAACTTCCCGCAAATGCCATCCACCTTCGGGAACTCACATCCCTGTCCGTGCAGGGCAGTTAAAGCCCCCGCCTGGGGCTGCCGTCAGATCAGCTGCAGGGCGTGGGCTGGGGTACACTTCTGGAGCCCGCCACCTGGGTCTGAGTCCTGCTCTGCGCTTTACCGGCCCCGAGACCCTGGGCAAACGATCGAACCTCTCGGAGCCTCAGTTTGCCCGTCTGCAAAATGGGTTCAACTGTGGCATCCACTCCATAAGGCAGTGGAAATGTTAAGTAAGTTAATACACAGACGGGCTCTGCCTTTAGGAAGTACTGCTATTATTAAATTAAAGCCATCGGCTGCTAACCAAAAGGTCAGCGGTTCCAAAGGACCAGCAGCTCCTCGGGAGAGAGATGTGGCAGTCTGCTTCCGTACAGATTTATAGGCTTGGAAAGCCTATGGGGTCGCTATGAGTCAGAATTGACTGGACTGCAGCGGGTTTTGTTTTTTTGTGGGAAATTACTATTATCAAAAGAACTCAGCATGGACAAGGAGCTCCTGGGAGCTCCTTGACTACTAATATAAAGATTGGTGGTTCAAACCCACCCAGAGGCACCTGGGAAGAAAGGCCTGGCAGTCTGCTTCCAAAAGGTCACGGCATTGAAAACCCTACCGAGGACAGTCCTGCTGTGACACGCGTGGCGTTGTCAGGAGTCAGAATCAGCTCCAGGACAGCTGGGTTTTGTTGTTGTTTTTTGAATTTACTCCTAGGAGTCCCTGGGCTTACAAACAGTGAACATACTCAGCTGCTAACCGAAAGGTTGCAGAGTCAAGTCCACCCAGACGCACCTTGGAAGAAAGGCCTGGTGATCTCCTTTAGATAAACCAGCCATTGGAAACCCTATGGAGCACAGTTCTACTCTGACACACGCGGGGTCGCCCGGAGTCAGAGCCGACTCCGCCGCAGCTAACAACAGCACCTGCAGGAAGGTAAGGAACACCCGCCGACTGCAGCTCCTCCGCGATTTTCTCCTGAGGGATGTTGTTAGGTGAACAGCAAGCTTCCTAGGGATTTACAATGGATGGAATGGCTCGCTGAAAGGGTTTGGCATCCAGTTATCCATATCAGAAAGCCAAACCCACCGCCGTGGAGTCGGTTCCAACTGGGGGCAGATTAACCAGTCGGCAAGGTGTACAGGTTTACAGTCGGCAGGGTACGTGGGGGTTTACAGTCTGCAAGGCGTGCAGGTTCGCAGTTGGCAAGGCCTGCGCGGGTTCGCAGTAGGCGAGGCACTCACGGGCTCACCTGTGTTTGCTTACCAATTTGTAGCGCACCATTTCACATGGGTTTGTGGTGAAAAACAGGTGAAATGGTGCACTACAGATTAGCAAGTAAGCACAAGTAAGCTCATGCTTACCTTGCTTATTGGGTAATCCGCCCCTGATTCTGACTCATAGCGATCCCATAGGACAGAGTAGAATTGCCCTCATAGGGTTCCCGAGGCCGTAAATCTTTACAGAAGCAGAGGGCCACTTGTTTCTCCAGCAGGGCGGCTGGTGGTTTCAAACCGCTGACCTTTCGGTTAGCAGCCGAGCGCTTTAAGCACTGCACCACAGAGACCTTTGGTTATCCATAAATGACTGAATATGCTATACACAGTAGAGACTAGGTTGAAGGAGAGAATAGGGTTAACACACTCCCTAGGAAGTCCCTGGGTAAATACAAACGATTAAGTGCTCAGCTGCTAACTGAAAAATTGGCGGTTCAAGTCTACCCAGAGGTGCCTTGGAAGAAAGACCTGGCGATCTACGTCTGAAAAATCAGCCTTTGAAAACCTTACGGAGCACAGTTCTACTCGGTCACACATGGGGGCACCATGAGGCAGGGTCCGCTGGATGGCAACTGGTTTGGTTTTTTGGTACCTTAACTCAGAAGACCCTGGGTGCTGCAAACGGTGAACACAATCGGCTGTTAACAGAAACGTTGAAGGTTTGAGTCCACCCAGAGGAACCTGGGAAGAAAGGCCTGGCGATCTCCTTCCAAAAAATCAGCTAGTGAAAAGCCTGCGGAGCACAGTTCTACTCTGACACATGTGAGGCCGCTGTGAGTCGGACTCAACGGCAACTGGTTTTGGTAGGGTCGCGAATGGCAGCAACACTGAACTGGAAATGTGTTCCTGGGGCCCCGTGGTTGCCACCGAGCGTCCCCACGTGAAATCACAGCCTTGCCATCTGGTTCTCGACTCAGCCCTTGTGTAAACCAAAAGACAAACATCTTCCCACACACAGAATCGACCGAGCGTGCCTCGCAGCATGGTCTACGAAAGACGGAAAGTCCGCACAGTACGATACAGAGACATAAAGACGACCCGGCTTAATAAAAGGGTGTCGCGGAAGAAACTGGGTCCTGGGCACAGCAATCTCTTGCGACATCCCGTCGGCCCCCAGGCAACCAACTGCTTCTTTAATGACACCACGCCCCCAAACAGGGTAAACAGGAAATGCGTGAGATCTCCAACTCCTAAAACACAGTGCTGTTCCTTCCTAAACTTCACTTGGACATTTTAATCCCAGGAATCAAAGCAGGACGCGGGAGCTGTTCAAATCCTACATTTCAGGGATTCGTGATGACAGCTCCTTAACAAGGTGTCCCCAACAGTCCAAAAACCCCAATCTTGAAAGATTAGTCCAAAGAACTAATGGACCACAACTACCAGCCTCCACCTGTCTGAGTCCAACACAACTAGATGGTTCCCGGCTACCACCACCGACTGCTCTGACAGGGATCACAACAGAGGGTCCCGGACAGAGCTGGAGAAAAATGTAGAACAAAATTCTAACTCACAAAAAAAAAGACCAGACTTACTGGCCTGACAGAGAGACTGGAGAAACCCCGAGAGTATGGACCCACAACACCCTTTTAGCTCAGTAATGCAATCACTTTCAGGGTTCATGCTTCAGTAAAAGATTAGACAGCCCCATGAAACAAAACGAGACTAAAGGGGCACACCAGCCCAGGGGCAAGGACGAGAAGGCAGGAGGGGACAGCAAAGCTGGTTATAGGGAACCCAAAGTGGAGAAGGGAGAGTGTTGACATGTCATGGGGTTGGTAACCAATGTTACAAAACAATATGTGTGCTAATTTCTTAATGAGAAGCTAGTTTGTTCTGTAAACCTTCATCTAAAGTACAATAATAATAATCCAATCCTGGAGTCCAGACAGAGCTTCCAAGCTCATATTAAAGTCTCTTTTTTTGGGGGGTGGGGGGAGGAGTGTCCCTTTTTATTGTGTAAAGATACAGAGGACACAGCACTTGCCCATTCAACACCTTTCACAATTACAACAATGCTGTGCCATGATCGCCAACACCCAGAACCAAGTTTTCCACCGCCGAACACAAGACCTCAGCGCTCCCTAAAGGACATGTTGAAGCCTTTGGCGTGCAAACAGCCCAGATGGTTTTCATTTGCAAAAGCCAAAGGACGATGTTGATGCAAAGGTTTAAAAACCCCAACACACGCTGCCCTCCCATTGTCCCCAAGAGCCCACAAGCCATCCGATAAGAAATAGTTGCATGTCAACAGTATTTTTGCCCTCCGAAAGTGGGCCGAACTAAATATTTTCAATCAGTGGCAAGTCACTGAAATCTCTCAGGTGGCCGCTGGTGCCGAAGCGTCCGAGTGAAACAGGCCAGTTTTTCAACACGTGAGATGCTGTGGTTTCAGGTGAAAACCGGAGAACACCGTTCGTATTTCTGAATGCCAGCTCCAACTCCCAGGCGCAAAATCAGCCCCCGGCCCTTCTTCTCCTTCCCCAACCAATGTTTCCAATCTCCTTTCTGACCCACTCTGCAAATCGTAACCCTCACTTAGCAGAACCTCGTCTGGAAGTGTCTGTAGAAGCCCCAGAGGGAGGCCCACACCCACGCCCCCAGGTCTCCCTCAGCAAGCAGGCTCCTACCTCGTCCCGTGTGGATTAGAACACCCAGCAGCAGGAACCACGGGACTCCCCGCAGGCTCGCCATGCTTTGATGGGGGATGACACACGGGCGCAGATACCCCAGCACAGCGCCCCACCCTGCTCCTGGGGACTACTGGTCACCCAGCTTGGAAGGGAGGGGACGGGTGTCTTCAAGTGGAAAGTATTAAGCAAACAACCATCCCTTTGCCAAACCCCAAATGGGCCGACTCCCGGATCCCAGGCTCCACAGCCAAAGACGGGAGGGACAAGTGCTTGCATGCCTATGAAGGAGGCTATCGAAGCCGCACCCTCCAATTGGCATGTTGGGGAGGCATGATGGGGAGGCAGAGACTGTCCCCCAATCACCGATGAGGAGCCTGGGTATCTGAAAGCGGCCACACCCCCTCCTCTGCTCCCTGGGGTGTGTGCGGTGCTCCCGTTCAAAGGCATGGGCGCTGCCTGAACCCAGACGCAGCTGCACCCCACGGCATGGCGGCCATCATAGGGTAAGACAAAGTGCCGGGCAATGCCAACGTTAGCACAGGGACCTGGGTTGTAACTCTTGGCTCCCTGGACGGTGGAAATGGTTAAACGGTCAGTTGCTCACGGAAAGGCTGGAGGTCCAAGTCTACCCAGAGGCACCTCAGAAGAAAGGCCTGGTGACCTACTTCTGAAAAATCAGCCACTGAAAACCCTATGGCGCACAGTTCTACTCTGACACTCACGGGGTTGCCAGGAGTCAGGATTGACCTGAAAGCAACTGTTTTTATTTTTATTTTTGTCTACGTATTTAGGTAACTACAGTCTAGAGCCTACAGGGTCGCTATGAGTCGGAACCGACTCGACGGCTCCTAACAACAACAACATAGTCTGTAAACGGGAGTATCGCACTGGGCAAATCTGCGGCAAAAGACCTCTTTACAGTGTTGAAAAGCAAAGACGTCACTCTGAGGACTAAAGTGCACCTGACCGAAGCCATGGTATTTTCAATCACCTCATATGCATGCAAAATCTGGACAATAAATAAGGAAGACTGAAGAAGAAATTATGCCTTTGATTTTTGGTGTTGATGAAGAATACTGAATATATCACGGACTGCCAGAAGAACGAACAAATCTGTTTTGGAAGAAGTACAGCCAGAGTGCTCCTTGGAAGCGAGGATGGCGAGACTTTGTCTCACAGACTTGGGACATGTTATCAGGAGGGACCAGTCCCTGGAGAAGGACATCATGCTTGGTAAAGTAGAGGGTCAGCGAAAAACAGGAAGACCCTTAATGAAATGGATTGGCACAGTGGCTGCAACAGTGGGCTCAAGCATAAAAACAATCATGAGGATGGCGCAGGACGGGGCAGTGTTTTGTTCTGTTGTACATGGGGTCGCTGTGAGTCGGAACTGCCTTGAGGGTACCTAACGACAACAACATAGTCCATATATCTATGTATCTATGGAGTCCCCAGGTGGTGCAAACAATGAATGAACTTGGTTGCTAACTGGAAAGTTGGAGGTTGGAGTCCACCCAGAGGCACCTCGGAAGAAAGGCCTGGTGACCTACTTCTGAAAAATCAGCCACTGAAAACCCTACGGCACACAGTTCTACTCTGACACATATGGAGTCACCATGAGTCAGAGTCAACTGGATGGCAATAGGTGGAGACACAGAGAGACAGCCAGAGGGGAGAAGCCACGTGAAGAAGGAGGTAGAGATTGGGGTGATGCAGCCACAAGCCCAGGAAAGCCTGGGGCCACCAGAAGCTGGAAGAGACAAGGAAGAATCCTCACCCAGAGCCTCCGGAGGGAGCGCAGCCCTGCCGACGCTTTTATTCAGACGTCTGGTCTCCAAAACCGAGAGAGGACAAATTCCTGTTGTTTTAAGTCACTAGGTTTATGATAATTTGTTTCAGCGGCTGCAGGCAACTCATACAGCTTCCTCTCTTCTCAACAAAGAAAAACGGCACCAAGTATTCGTTATTCTCAGAACATCATCATTGCTAGGTTACAAAGGACACATAGTGGGAATCAACACAATTGTACCGAAGGACACACGCATCTCTTTTTAATGATTTTTTTCTCTCAAGCAAGATTTCGCTTGGGACAAAATTGTACACTTTTGAGCAGGGCCGGAGTTGAGCGAATTCCTCCGCCGAGCACACTCCCGCTCTCCCCGACATGCTGACCTGTGCGAAGAATGCAACCATCCTCTTTAAAAGCAGTTCTGGCAACATAAAGGCTGGCTTTCAAGCGGGCACTGAAGCTGGAGACTGATAAAGATTGGAGGCAAAAAGCCGGGCTATCAGGAAGGATGAATACTGTCATCAGTGCATCTCATTACCGCCGGCGAACCTCTAAACTCTGCTAAAAGTGTCTGCCGTGTAATTTGAAATAATGAACTGCCCATCCCCTTTGAAGGTTTGCTGTACAGTGCAGGGTGGAAATCCACAGTGACTTCATTTTGACTTCCTTCTACAAAGAAGGGAAAAAGAAAGAAAAAAAAAAATGGATGCCTTAAAGAAAACGCATCGCTGTTGAGTCGATTTCGACGCATAGCGACCCGATAGAACTGCCCCAAAGGGTTTCCAAGGCTGTAATCTTTACAGGAGCTGTCATGGATTGAATTGTGTCCCCAAAAATATGTGGTAACTTGGCTGGGCCATGATTCGAAGTGGTTTAGCAGATGTGTAATGATGTAATCATCCTACATGATGTGATCTGATGTGATCAGCCCATCAGTTGTAAGGGGATTAGGGTGGGATACAGCACCCTTACTCAGGTCACAGCCCTGATCTGATGTAAGGGGAGTTTCCCTGGGGTGTGGCCTGCGTCACCATTTATCTTACAAGAGATAAAGGGAGAGAGAAGTGATAAGAGATGAGGGATCTCACTACCACCAAGAAAGAAGAGCCAGGAGTGGAGTGTGTCCTTTGGACCTGGGGTCCCTGCGCTGAGAAGCTCCTAGACCAGCTGAGGATTGATGACAAGGACCTTCCCCCAGAGCTGACAGAGAGAGAAAGCCTTCCCCTGGAGCTAGCACCCTGAATTCGGACTTCTAGCCTCCTATCCTGCGAGAGAATAAATTTCTGTTTGTAAAAGCCATCCACTTGTGGTATTTCTGTTAGAGCAGCACTAGAGGACTCAGACAGGAGCAGACTGCCACATCTTTCTCCTGCAGAGAGGCTGGTGAGTTTGAACCTCCGACCTTTCAGTTAGCAGCCGAGCACTTAATCACTGCACCACCAGGACTCCTTGCCTTAAAGAAACAACATCCATAATTTAAGTCTGAGTCATTTTACTTAACTAGCAAATTCTCTCTTTCATTTGAGATCTCCCGAGAGAGAGAAGTGTGATCTGATATGAGTCAAACAATGAATGTGATTCTTCCAGTTTCTTCTCTCCTAAAATTCCTTGATGATTCCACACCACTATTGAGGGCACCTGGAATTCTACCTGCCTTCAAGCTTGGGGTAGAATAAAAAGCGACCTTTGCGAAAGGCTTTGATCTCCTCTGTTATGGAATAAGTACATGAGAATGAAGGAAAAAAAAAATCCTGATCACGAGAGAACAGTTTCTAAATCACCCAGAGAAGCTGGGTCCATGCCAAACAGACCCACAAGGAGAAATAAACCCTGGTCTCTTCAGCATCCAGTTGTTGGCACATGGAAAATGTATATTTATGTGGATTGGTTTTTTGGATTTATTTTCCAGGTAACATCTTTATAAACTAAGTTACTTAGGTGGATCAAGTTCCGAAGGGGTGCGCATATGTGTGTGCGTAGGAGAAATGCTTTAAGAAAATTTGTCTGTCAGTCTGTCATACTGTGGTGTTTTGCCTGTTGCTGGGATACTGGAAACTGTGCCAGCAGTATTTCAAATACCAGCAGGGTCACCCATGGTGGACAGGTTTCAGCAGAGCTTCCAGACTAAGACAGACTAGGAAGAAAGGCCTGGTGATCTACTTCCAAAAATCAGCCAGTGAAAATCCTATGGATCACGACAGAATATTGTCTGACTCACTTGCGTTGGACATGTCTTTAGGAGGGATCAGTCGCTGGAGAAGGACGTCATGTTTGGTGAAGCAGAGGGCCAGCGAGGGCGGGGGAGACCCTCGGTGAGATGGATTGTCACAACAGCCACCACACTGGACTGGAACACGCAGCCGATTGTGAGGATGACTCAGGACTGGGCAACATTTCGTTCTGTTGTTTACGAGGTCGCCATGAGTCAAAGTCAACTCGACGGGTCGCCATGAGTCGAAGTCAACTCAACTCAACGGGGTCGCCGTGAGTCGAAGTCAACTCAACGGGGTCGCCGTGAGTCGAAGTCGACTCAACTCAACAGGGTCGCCGTGAGTCGAAGTCAACTCGACGGGGTCGCCGTGAGTCGAAGT